TTTAGCTAGTTAATCATACAATCATATCGTACAGTTTATGGCTACTTTTTCTGTTATCATACGCAATAGAAGTTTTGTTCTGTATTATGTAATATGATTATTGTAAATACGAATAGAGTTTCAAAGTATAATGCATTCGAATTAGTGTACTAAAACGGTTTTTATATTATATTTATATTAAAGTATTGAAACACGAATATTGACAGCAAAATTGATTTAACAGGGAAATAAATAGAGATAGAGATATAAAAGTAAACGACATGGTTTGAACTCTCCTGTTGAATGAATGAATGAATGAAAATACTTATTTATTGAGGCGTATTATACCTGTTAATTTGTTTCAGTCCAGAGACACAAGAGCTAGGGAACATTCGCTATGTATTATCTAAGACAGGATTCTCCGATTGAGTAAGGAAAGTCAAATGAAGAAAGTTTAACAGATTATTCAGTCCCTCATACTCCCCCGGGGTTTCTGGGAAGACTCGATGACTCTTTCTTAAGTTAAATCTTAAAAACGAAGTTATTGTTATGTATTGAACACCTTTGGGAAACAATGTACAGGACTATTTCGTATACAGATGGATTTCAATAGCTATATAGCATTACTGAGTGGTTTGCGCAGAACACACAGTAAAGTCAAAGTAAATCTCGAACTTGTGTATTTTCATGAACTTGCACATCATCTTCACACAAAACAATTCCTTTTTATTTAAAATTTTTTAAGACGTGATTACCATTCCTTTTATAATGTTTTTTTTCTTCTATCGGGAGAAATTGTGTGGCCAGCATATTGGAATAAACGTAATTTAAAGAAACAAAGACGTAAGATTTGGTGAAATATCGGTTAGTCACGAGTAAAAGATAATTGATTGAAACACAAATGTTGTCAATGCAGCTACTATAAATAGTTGATCTTCGGCATGACAACCTTACAAATATTAATGGAATTGAGATGTTCGCACTATAATTTGGCTCATGTAACACTTTTTACTTGTTGGAAGACCAAACAATAATTTACAATAATCTGTAAGACGGAAATCGCACCACCAACAGACAGTCGAGCGTTGCTTATCAGTGTAGTCCACACCTTCGTCCGAATTTAAAATCTACGCCTGTAGGATTTGTTACACGCAATCTACGTTGGATAAAGAAGCCTTGACTGTATGCGCAAGAAAATGTTTACAAAGCAAACCATCTAAACTTTTTGAATTCATAATATACAGGTATCTAAATTATTAACAAGAAAATTAAGGCTTGAGCAATCATCCTGTAAAAACTATTATGAATTTGCCTTTAGATGAATTGGTTTTTATTGAACTAAATCAAAAAATTAAAACTGTGATGGCATAGTTTTTTTTTTATATTGTCGACATGGTTTGGTATCCAACCAATGAGGATCAAAATCAGGCACATTTGATTTATTGAAGCCTATCGAATTATATACTACATTGTTAATGTACCAAATTAATAATAATAATAAGACCATGTTTTTAAAGCTTTACGCTTAAAGTAAAGGGTGTCCCAGTAAGAACGCCGGATTTCAGGAGCGTCATATCCTTATCTGTATTTCAATAGGAATTCCCAAATTATCAGCGATGTTATCAGTATTATGTCCCATTTGTAGTCATGAATCGTTACATGACGGATCAACGCGTGGTCATAGTTAAAGTGCACTACAAGTACCGGGAATGTTTCGCTGGAACGGTGCGGAAGCTGCGCGCTATTTTCGCCGGGATAATGCACAAAATGAGTCATCTGTCTGAAAATTAATTTCCAAGTTCGAAGGAACTGGCTCAGTTTTAGACATTAAAAGACCAGTGCGTAGTCGGGCAGGTCGTTCCCTTGAAAATATTGATGCTGTACATGATAGTGTAGAGGACAACGCAAAAACATCGTAGTCAGCAGTTAGGCCTAGCTCGGAGCACAGCACAAAGAATTTTGATAAAAGACCTTCACATGTTCCCTAAAAAATCCAACTCAAACAAGAGATCAAGCCAAGAGATCCTGTAAAATGGCCTGAATTTGTAAACTAGGTGGTTGGAAATCGAGATGAAAATGACTTGTTTTAAAAAACATTGCTGTTCAGGGATGACGCACACATTCATCTAAGCAAGATCGTGCGATTTAACACCGTGTGACTACTTTCTTTGGGGATGTTTAAAGTCGCTTGTTTTTGCCAATAATCGTCAAACAATCCAAGACCTGAAGGTGGAAATTATTCGTGCCATTAGAGGAATTCAACATGAACTGGGTGAAAAAGTTATAGAAAACTTCGTCAATAGATGTCTGGCTTGTCAGCAGGCAGCAGGTGGGCACTTACGAGACATAGGCCTAATATTCCATTACTAATCGGAGATACTATGCTTTAAGATTCATGTTTCATATTGTAAATTTAGCGTGAAAATATATGGTTTATTAAAATTTTTAATCCGGCGTTCTTGTTGGGACACCCTTTACTTAGGGAATTAATAGCCAAAGGTAAAACTAAGTTGTTAACAAAATGAGTCATAGAATTTATTTATTTTTAAAGAAATTATGAAATATCCTCAAATTTTGCTTGGCTGTCATTTTTGAGAGATTTATTATTATTTCTATCCAGGCTGTTCCTTGTCATTACAAGAAATATAATTAGTATTACAGTAGTATTCATTATTATCTATCTATAATATTAAAACGAAACAGTGTTTTTTTATTTCACGATTCTGAATCAACCACTCGACGGATTTTCATGATTTTTGTGTTGCAAGAAAGATAATTTTGAGAACTAGGGAATGTTGAAGCCATAATTTTAGTTTAGGGTCCCAGTTTTTTAGAAATTAAGTTTTAATTTTTTAAAAGTCTAGCAGCCGACGCTAAGATTCTAATCTAGCTTTTGGCATAAAATAATTTGCTTAACATAACAGCTGTAAACATTAAGCTTTTGTGTCACAAATTCAGCATTTGGATAAAAATGTAAAGACATACTTAGGGTTGACATATTTATACTATGTGTAATGCTAATCATTGATACGCTCAATTCTTCTGTAAGAGGATGACAGATTAATTAAATTATACATAGTAAAATACTAGGATGTTCAAATTATTTTTTAAAGCAATCTTTGTAATCTTCGATTTGTTTTAGAGCAATAATATAATTTGCTTTAACTAACAGCTGGTTAAATATAAACTATGGAACTATGAGGTTATTTTATTTACTCTCATTTTGTCATTGGTTATAGGAATTAAGTACGATTAGTAGAGATAATTAGACCACAGTTTAAAAAAGGATGAATGCAAATTATTTTACTGCTCCACTTTTCAAGGAAAGAATAGAAAAATAAAAATGTGTACATGTTTTAATTCTTCATGGTAGCTTTTTGTTTACAATTAATGTTTGTCTGTTTTAACTTTGTTTGGATTAGGCCCGGAAATATTGATGTCATAAAAATAAGATCAAGAATAATCAGGAATCACGATTTTAAAATACCACCACAACCTCAGCTGGGTTTTATACAAAGATAAACAGGTAGATGACATAGATTGAACACAACGTCAACATTGACCTAGGATACTGCAATTAGACAAACCATCCTTTTATGAAATCGTGTTCAGTTGTGGTTACGTTTGGGGGTGACTATATCAGCGATCCCCAAACGTGAAAATATCACTTTTATTTCAACTATGAATATATTGTACAGTAGTTTAAATTAACTAATATGGGAAATTACGATGTACATTTATTCAATGAGGGTGGGTAATTATGAAGGATAGAACTGATAACGTTATGGATAATAAACATTGACAATTAAGTCATTAGCTTTACTAGAGTGTTTACTTTTTATATTCCTGTTACATGTGACCAGTTCTTTTTTTTCAAATGAATGTTATTTGAACCAAACAGCTGATTCAAAACAAACTGTTATTGTTTTTACTTTTCTTTGTTTACACTTATTTATTTAGCAATTAATGCAGTGAAATTGATATAAAAGGATAGGTGTGACGATTTATGTGTACTGTGAATTTTATTGGATATTATCGTTTTATTTTTGGCCGTTTCTATTCAGATCTACTGGAAATTGTGTATAGTAGTTGTATTGTAGTGATAATAATTATGGAAGAGGCAGGTATGCTATGGAAGGTGGTATCGTTGACTAGGTCTATACACTTCTCAATTGACTATTACTCTCTCTACTGTAGGCTACTTATAATCAGTGTGCGTCTGTGCGAATCGGCTGCAAATCTCACTTCAACGCTTTTCACATCGTAAACATTGCAGAATTGCTGTTTTATTGTAAAATTATCGCATTTAAAATGCATATCGTATAGGCCTATGATGGAATAAAAACATATTTTGTCACACATTTGTTTACAAGATGATTTTTCACATTAAAACTGCAAGAAACTTTGTCTTTATATGTGTAAACTAGCTGATCTGAATTGTACACGGTTTTAACTGACTACTAAATTCCCGTACGTAGGACGGGCTAACACCTCGTTATTATTATTTTTACAGAGTATAAAGAGTATCACACGAAAATTACTTTACCAATGTATGTTTACTAAAAAATGACCCTTACCATATAATTTAACTTGGAAATTGTTATTAAACACCTCGTGTTAGCGTATGAAGTACCTAAATAAAAACTTCACAACATCCCCCTACAGGTAGGTATGAGATTCAAAACATAATGGCAAGAAGGATTAACATGGGAATTATTATTGACAAACATTTAAAATATCTAAATGTTTAACCATTTACCACAAACAAATTTAATAACTGGGACAGAAAGCTTGCTTTTTTACTAAGAATACGCAACTTAAATGCTAGAGCCAACTATAGTTCGGCCGCTTAGAAAACGACCTGCTTCAATTTTTGCTGATATGCTGGGGACCAACCCGTGTCCTTCTCAAACTGGATTCTGAGATGCTAGCATTACACCTGACGTCTGGGACCCCCAATTCAACATAAAACTAATGATAAAATTCATTATTTGTCTAAGTACAGTAAGTAAGTAGATTACCTCAAAAACATGAAGATGACGAGGAAGTTGCCGGTGACGCCGACAGTCATGATGATGGTGTAGAGCGCGGCCAGGATGTAGTGCGACCTGGGGTAGGGTGGCGGGAACTGCAGCCAATGGCGGTTGATCAGCTCCAGATAGTGTTCGGTGAAGTATCCCATCGCCTTCCACTGCTCCACAGGGTAGCGTGACCGAAACACAGCGTACACATCCGAACGGTTCATCATCTCAACTCCTCTAATGGGAGTAGTTTGTAACGATTCGCCATTCGAAGAATCTGTGTATTCTCCCAGTGCAGGCACGGAAGTGACTGATTTCGGCCCTGGCGAAAGATATATCGGTGGTACTTGCAAAAGTCCTTCGTCTTCCAAGACCACCTTTATTAGGGATACATTTGTCTTGGAAAACGACTCTTCTAAATTTCTGACATCTTTGGTTAACGATGACAGATCCTTTGCTTGGACAGACGAGTTTTCAGTATATTCGATCATATCTTGCTCGAGCCTTTCTGGGAATAAATCGTCATTAAAACTCGATTTTTCTGGAATGGATAGAAATGTGTTAGAGTATTGATTCTTAGACATGAACAGCTTTTCTTTTAGCTCTGAAAATAGTGGCATCTCTTTAACCGAATACTTTTTCTTTACATATTTTTTTCTGAAGGGGACATGTTTTGTCAGCTTGTCAATGGAACTCGCCGCTCTCTTGAGCACGTGAGGTTGGCGCACATTTGAACCGCACTCACAATGCACGTTCGTGCCAAAAACATCTTCAGTCTGCAACGCTCCACTCACAGCAGAAGTTGAAATTCCACTTGTTTCAGACACCTCCTCTACGTGAGCCTTGTTCCGGTATAGTTCGTATTTCAAAGACGTTGCCTGACTGCAGAGAAATAAACAGTCGTCATTTCCACTATGGTTTTTAGAGTTGTCAATAAATCTTCCGGAATCCAAGTCATAAATATGTGGAAGGTGTGGGCTAGCAACTGGCCTGGGTGCCTCGGTACTCGGGTGGTCAAACATCCATGCGACTAGGAATATCCTGATCAAGCTCATACTGTTCACAATGGACCAAATGGAGCGATAAACCCGCTTGAGATGCCTTTCATACCGAATTATTTCACTTCACCACACAATGTAACATTTTTACTAGATGGTTTTGGATAATTGTAACTATTGCCATACTGAGTAAACCTGTAAAATATGCAGTTCACTTATTAATATTAATAAATTCTATTAAAATAAAGAAATCCTATTACTATTAATATTATATTTCCAACCAAGTAGTACACTTTTATATCGAGTTTATAGTTTCAGTAATAACACTAATGCCCCATTACATTTTGGGTTGAACGATATTATTTGCCAAATATGGTGAAAATACTAGATATTTATATAGGGCAAAAAAGTGTAACGAAACAAAATTTCTATTACTAAAATGTCATGAATTTTACGAATCGATTTTACGACAAAACAGTTTATGTCTCATGTGAATTCCAGCTACATGCTTGGTAACTGTAGGAATGTAATTTAAGCCAACTATGTTGGATTTTAATCGATTTGTATCGTTATTCTCCAATCGTAAATTACAACCGTGAAAATAACACATGTCTAATTATAATGAAGTAAGCGGAGGTGAACACTTGCTTTAACATTTAAAGTAAATTTGTGGCGACCGCTAAGACGTAAACTAACCAAACTAACAATTCATTGTGTATTTCTCCGCCACGGTTACGTATTTAAATTTACTTGAGGTGTTTGAATATGAACTACTACCGGTACTGTAGCATTTAAGTACTGGCCAGTTATATTACACCGAATTGCGGAAAAACGTATTCAATATTTATAGAACTATTCACACTTACAAATCTGGCAGGCGCAATGTTATAGGTTAAGTATCGCGAGAGTGGTATGGTTTATTTCTATTGCCGTATTATTTTAATTGTGATTTAATAGATAGTTCTAGCTTAGTATAAACCCCACAGAGGCAAGTCATACATTCCACACTCAATTTTCCAATAATATTTGGGTTAGAATATGCCTATTTTACTGACACCCTTAAATGGTAATAATCATAATTGCAACGCAATAAATTAAATTCAAACCAATACAACGAAACTAGCTTCCGTTTATCTACGGTTTAAAAAAGTTATAATTTTAAACTCTACATAACCTTTTGAATATTATAACAGGCATGCATGTTTTCATCACGTATTTTATTTTGTTTAGGTGAATTATGATTCGAGGTCTAAATTTAGTCTCAAATAAAACATTGAGACTGTAAGACTTAATTGACATAACGTCGTTATTGAACAACTTTAAACTAAAAAAAAAAAAAAAACGGAATAAAGTACTGCAAGATTTGAATCCCTTTTTACAGTTATCAAAGACAATTAAGTACCAATAAATGAGTAAAGGAATACACAATTTAAACAACTATTATTGGAATGAAACGTAATCATTCGTGTATTCTTTCTGTTTTGGATATCTCAAAATAGTTTAGATGAATAATTTAATTATACATACAGTAGGTGTACGTTAAGTCACAAAGTTTACATGCCAGTGTTAGTGCTACTAATAAATAGACTGAAGCATAAAATTTTAAATATAATACCATACAATATTATGACATTAAGCACTGTTTGCCTTACAAACGTTAAAACGTTCCAAAAAATATATTTATATGAATTTTTTCCCTAAATTACTAACAACAATTATTATCCAACTTGCGTACGTTTAAAACTAAGAATGATTTCAATACTGAAAAATATGAAGAAAAAAACATCACTTCATCATCACGATAGAGATAATTTGCACGAACAACAGCTGTTCACAGTAGCGCGCTTGGCGGCATACTGAACTGACTGGCACTGGCTCAACTGAACTGACACCTACCACCCTCCCACTACAACCTCGTAGCCCCTGACCTACCTCAACATTAAACTTTATATATCCTCCACCAGGGGATGAAACACATTAACAAAGCAGTAGATGTAGAAGACAATCATGTTGTATACTGACACGGACCACCCTCCCACTACAACCTACCAGTTCTTGACCTACCTCAACATTAAACTTTATATATCCTCCACCAGGGGATGAAACACATTAACAAAGCAGTAGATGTAGAAGACAATCATGTTGTATACTGACACGGACCACCCTCCCACTACAACCTACCAGTTCTTGACCTGCCTCAACATTAAACTTTATATATCCTCCACCAGGGGATGAAACACATTAACAAAGCAGTAGATGTAGAAGACAATCATGTTGTATACTGACACGGACCACCCTCCCACTACAACCTACCAGTTCTTGACCTACCTCAACATTAAACTTTACATATCCTCCACCAGGGGATGTAACAAATCAACACAGCAGTAGATGTAAAAGTCTATCATGTTGCATACTGACACCTACCACCCTCCCACTACTACAACCTACCAGTTCTTGACCTACCTCAACATTAAACTTTACATATCCTCTACCAGGGGATGTAACATATCAACACAGCAGTAGATGTAGAAGACAATCATGTTGTATACTGACACGGACCACCCTCCCACTACAACCTACCAGTTCTTGACCTGCCTCAACATTAAACTTTACATATCCTCCACCAGGGGACGTAACAAATCAACACAGGAGTAGATGTAGAAGACAATCATGTTGCATACTGACACGGACCACCCTCCCACTACAACCTACCAGTTCTTGACCTACCTCAACATTAAACTTTACATATCCTCTACCAGGGGATGTAACATATCAACACAGCAGTAGATGTAGAAGACAATCATGTTGTATACTGACACGGACCACCCTCCCACTACTACAACCTACCAGTTCTTGACCTACCTCAACATTAAACTTTACATATCCTCCACCAGGGGATGTAACATATCAACACAGCAGTAGATGTAGAAGACAATCATGTTGTATACTGACACGGACCACCCTCCCACTACTACAACCTACCAGTTCTTGACCTACCTCAACATTAAACTTTACATATCCTCTACCAGGGGATGTAACATATCAACACAGCAGTAGATGTAGAAGACAATCATGTTGTATACTGACACGGACCACCCTCCCACTACAAGCTACCAGTTCTTGACCTACCTCAACATTAAACTTTACATATCCTCCACCAGGGGATGTAACAAATCAACACAGCAGTAGATGTAAAAGTCTATCATGTTGCATACTGACACCTACCACCCTCCCACTACTACAACCTACCAGTTCTTGACCTACCTCAACATTAAACTTTACATATCCTCTACCAGGGGATGTAACATATCAACACAGCAGTAGATGTAGAAGACAATCATGTTGCATACTGACACGGACCACCCTCCCACTACAACCTACCAGTTCTTGACCTGCCTCAACATTAAACTTTACATATCCTCCACCAGGGGACGTAACAAATCAACACAGGAGTAGATGTAGAAGACAATCATGTTGCATACTGACACGGACCACCCTCCCACTACAACCTACAAAAGTTCTTGACCTACCTCAACATTAAACTTTGCATATCCTCTACCAGGGGATGTAACGGGTGAGGTTCATAATGTCCAAATTTCACAAAGTCCAACGTCTAAAATATTAAATAAACAGTGTGTTTCATAACCTCCAAACTTCATAAACTCCAAAACTATAACTTTCAAATAAGCACAGTTTCACAATGTCCAAATTTCACAAACTCCAACTTTTAAATATCAAATAAACAGAGCGGTTCATAACCTCCAAGTTTCATAAGCTCCAACGGTACAGTCTCTGCCATAAGTCAATCGAATTGGCGGGATACCGAGGCGGACGGGCCGAATGAACCTCTCTGTTTTACACAAACATACATTCACTCAACCTGCTCTGCTACACTTATTTGTTAACATACAAATTTCAAATTGATATATTATTTTTCTGGAAAAACCAGTGCTCATTACTATGAAGCTAGTTTTTACCTTAACATAATTTTTATAATTTATTTAGGCAAATTAAAACAGATGATTGTTTTTTAACACCATAAAAAACATGAAAAATGTAGTAAGCGAGGAACTTTTTTATTTTTTGGTCAGGGAAAAAATTCCTGCGGCAAAGTTTTAGATCAAAGTATGAATTTTATTTTTTATTTGAAGCTTTTTTTGATACGGAGCCTGCTTGTATCATTTTTAAGCGATTAAAAATAGGCATAAAATCGCTTGGCATTGGCGCTAGGAGTTTGGCCGGCTCAGCATCAGTTTACGGGATATAGAAACTGAGTTTCTAGCATTTAATTATCATTATACTGTATTACATCAAATATGTCATTACATTGCGAAGAATGGTAACTTAATTTACAGGCGTATGTTTGTGCATTTTAATGCTTACCGGTAGTCTATAGTTAACAAAATTCTTTGATATAAATGCTTCCCCGATTGTAATTTCGGAAATTGTCTTCGTGAAATATGAAAAGGCATATAAAGATGTGGAGATAATTTAAAACACGTTCGCGGCGGCACGTCAAATGGCGGGCGTATCCCAGGTCCGGCGTAGCCCTCAGCATCGAACAAACCCGATTGCCGCGTGTGAT